AGTTTCCCGGCGAGCTTCCTTGTTTCTAGCAATTTTGTTGACTTGCAGGCCATTTTTCGGCTACTTCCGACCACAATTTGGCTTCCAAATAGGCAACGATCATGTGGACGCCTCGATATATGTGGTAATGGTTATTACCCTGAAATTCTTATGTTAGTATCCATTGTGGATATGACTTGATTTTATAAATTTGATTTCTATTAAAATTTGATTTTATATTTAGCCATCAATCTATTTTTATGAAATGTGATTTGACTTGAGTATTGGAAATATTTGTGAAATATGATTTGAAATGCATGTTGAATTGTTTGTGAAATGTAAGGGCTAGTAGTGGACCAATAACCCATCCTGATGGGGATTTGTTGCTTCAAAATTGTTTCATATCTCGTTTCATTGTGCCATTTGTCACCTTGTTGAGCTTTTGTAAATTGAGTAACTTGTGCTTTGTTTCATTTCTTCGAGCCTTTTTCCATTATATTTCTTAGACCTCCGCTTGGTTTCGTTGATGGTCTAGAATTGGGTCCTGTTGAGTGGTCTAGAATCATATTCTACTTTGAATTTCGTTGAGTGGTCTAAAATCCCTTGTACTCCGTAATTCCGTTGAGTGGTCTGAAATCGTATCCACTCGGATTCCGTTGAGTGGTCCGAAATCCCTTCTACTCCTCGACTTCGTTGAGTGTTCTGGAATCCCTCTTTGTATTTTGGTTCCGTTGAATGGTCCAAAACCCGATGATGTTGGATTTCCATTAAGTGGTCCGAAATCGCAGTCCTTAACTTCGTTGATTTTTTGATTCCTCAAAATTTGTATAAATGAGAAAGCTTCAGAGATGTAGGCTTCGGCCGAACTGTGTCGCTCTAGCCCTACTTTTCAGTGTATTGTATGAATTATTATTGTGACTTTTTTTTAGTTGTTTTAGAAAGGCTAATGGATGTCTATGTGACTCCTGCAGAATTTTCATTGGTTTGATTATGATTTCATAAAGTATGATTTTACGAATGACATTTATAATTTGAGATCAATAGATTTGTTTTTATGACTATCACATAAGTTGAAGTATTGTCACTCACATGAGCTTCACAGCTTATCCAAGTTATTGATTTGCTAGGTGCACCATTCCCACGGTGTAGGGGTGATTGTGCAGGTTTTAGATGATACGCAGAGCTTTATGGTAGCAGATAAAGTTCAAAGTGCTTGGAGTTTTAGGTTACCCAGCTACCTTTCCTTGTACCTTTCCTCATATTTCTTTTTGACTTTCTTTTGGGAGCCTACATCCGTTGTCCCTAGTGAGAGTTATTTTTATGGCATAGTTGTTTGTAAATATTCTTAATTTCTATTCAGTGTTTCAGTAGTATTTTTTGGCATCCCCCTACATTATATCATCACGAGTTGATTCTGGACGTATATCGAGATCGGGATGTGACAGTGAACACAATGTTGTTTACTTATCCAAATTGAAGATGTGTTGATGAAAGGATTAGGATGATTAGGATTTTTCTCAAGGTTGTGAGAAAGGTTGCGCGTAGAGCATTTTGAGTTGTTTGCTGAGTTGAAGGGGCTTCTCACGTTGCACAACCTCTTCTATTTATAAGCATGAACTTTGTGACAAACAAGTCTATCGAGGTAGAGACATGATTGGACTATGCCTCCTCGACACTTACCTGGATATCCTCTATTTATCCCCCATAATCCCTTCTTTGTCCAAAACTCAACCTCTATCTAGTCTCGACCTCTTTGACTTGAACCAAGATTATGAACCTAGTTCCTTTGTGCACTTAATTCATTCTCATATGATCATGCATAGGTTCTAATTCTTAGTATAATGCAAATCATATTAAAACCCATCTTGATCCTTATCAATCTTCATTCAGTTAGCACTTTACTGAGCCACGCCTAGGCTTGGTCCCTTAATAGTCGTATTCTTATTAGGACTCATTGACTCAACGCTATCCTGGGTTGGGAGCCAATTGGCCTGAGAAATAATTAATGGGCTGTGAATCATGGCCTTACAACTTGAGTAATCCTTTCTTAGCCCAAATCCGATATTTCAGGCTCAAACAGTGCGACATAAGACTAAATTGTTTTTTCTCTCTCTTGTGATTAACAAAAAAAAGTTTGTTAATAGGTAGTTTAGATAAATAGGCACACGTTCCTTTGTTGTACTTAATCAAAATTCTCATGTAGATAAATTTTATTTACAAATGATGAGTTTATGTGTTCGATCCAGGGATGCGGCAAATGATCCAGTTGAGTGTGGACAAGAAGTGAGTTTCGATCACCACCTCACAATCCAAAACAGGTTGATCTTGATGTCGATGCTGAGAAAGGTGGTCTTGCAAATAAGCACATATTTTGGTGTCGACTTTGCTGCTGAAGCTGATATTCCTTGTTCTATAGCTCATGAATGTAAGTGTTTGTGTGAGTTTGTAGATAGTTTTGGTGAGATTTAGAAATGAAACCAACAAAAAATTGATTAGCTCATAAAGTTGAAATTGCAAAGAACAATGGAGGAAGAAAGTGGAGTACGTTGCTCCCTGGGATTTGATCTGATTCTATTACACCTCGCACTGTAATCATACAAGGAATATATGTTGGAAGTATGCCTATAAAGCCAATGTAATAGCTTTTAAAATACTCATCATGATCACTATTCTAAAAACCCCCACCTAGCGCCGTCTAGGCCCCACCTAGGCGCTAGGCGATTAGCCACCGCCCCAGTTAATGTCTAGGCATTTGAAAATCAAGAGAGGATGCCTAGTCCTCCTTAGGTGTCTGCCTAGCCCACCTAGGCACCCATCTAAGCCGCCTAGGTGTCCGTCTAGGCTGCCTAGATCCACCTAGTTCATGACTCTCACTTAAATAAAAAATCTATAACATTTATTTTGCATTTTATTTTTGTTCAATAAATGGTAAGAGACTTATTGAATACTTAGATGAACACTCACTATATGCTTGTCTCCATATTTTCAATATGTTATAATTCTTTAATTTATATGTCATTTTATTTTGCAATTTATGAATCTAAATACAATTATGTATTTTTTAAGTATAAATAGGCACTTATTTACACGATATATAATAAATTTACTTAAATCCGCCTAGGTCCCGTCTAGTTGCCTAGGAGCTAGTTGGCCTGGCAAACAAGCCGTGTTTGTCATGTTCGTGTTGTTTTCGTATAACACATGTTATCTTAACAGATCATATCATGTCATACCCATTATCTTAACGGGTTCTTAACAGTTGACCCGACCCATTATGGCCCATTAAGAAAAATATTGTTTTTCTTTCTAAATTTGCACATACCACATTGCCACATAATATTACCTCAAAAACTAATTCGAAACTAAACACCCAAATTGAAGAAACGAACCAATCTTAATTCGAAAACTAATTCGAAGCAAAACCCTATATTTTGAAATTAATTCAAAAGAATCAACAATTACCTCCATTAAGGCTTGAATTCGCTCGATCTAGAGAGAGAGAATCAAAGACAAAAGTAGTTTATCAATTGGTGGTGGGTTACTAGGTCGTATGTGGTGACGTGGTGTGGTGGAGGGACACTGGAGAGGGTGGTTATGGACTTATGGCTAGCCGGAGTTGAGGTTCGAGGCTAAGATTCAAGAGTTCAGTTCGAGGGAGAGACATAGAGCGGCTGCTTCGATTAGAGCCATCGAGAATGAGAGAAAGTCTTATTTAAGGCTAAGAAAAACAATGGATAGCCAACATTAAATCTCAATCAATCCATCATCAATTTTCTAAATTTAATTTAAAATATAAAAAAATATATATATATATATATATATTAACTTTCAGATCAGTTTGAGACTAAATCTTACTGTAGTTAGTTATAGTGTTTCTTTTTAGTGGTATAAAATTATTAAACTAATATTTTTCTTATCGTGTAATGGGTTACCCACTTGTATACCTAGATCGACCCGTTAACATAACAGGTGTTTATCGAGTTACCCGATAACAACCCGCTTCATTATCGTGTCGACCCAAAATCCTGTTAATTTCGTATCGTGTCAGGTTAACAAGTCGTGTTAGAAATTGCCAAGCCTAGGCACTAGGCCCCAACACCCCTACCCTCCCCCCTGGGGGGACTAGCGCTAGCGTCTTTTAGAACCTAGATTATGATTAAACTCTTATTAGTTTAATGGAAGGGCAAGCCTTATTGTTAATCACTACTTATTGTATCATGTGTTCAAGCAATAACAGAATCTAAGGAATGTAAACTGCCTAAAAGAGAAGTGATCTAAGTAAGTTGGATCAACGAGACCTTTCTCTTATGTTCATTCCTAAAATGTTCCTAACCACAGGATTGCCAATTGGGCATTGACAATCCTCTAAGGTTAGTATTTGTTATGTTAACTCAAACGGGAGTAGTGTTAGACACTAAAACATGTGAAAGAGAAGTGGGGAATCTAATTTCCTTCATGCATCCCGTGTTCGAAGCTCCCCCTCTACTAAATTATCGTAATAGTTTCAAAGCCTCCCCCTCCCTTTAATAGTAATGATTTAAATAATAATAATAATAATTTCCTAAAAAACAGTATGCTTAAACTAGGAGGTAAGAAATTAGACTAAACTACATAATAAGCCATCTATAATTAGTATCAGACTCTAATTTGATATTTAATTTGTAATTCATGAAAATCGAACCAAGACACTGCACTTCTAAGTATACTGTAATTTTCCTAGTAAGGTGGGAGTTCTTCAACGCAAAAAAAAAGTAGGTGGACAATATGAGAGGGAACCCCTAATTTCAGTACACAAATTATTGGCTAAAGAGTTTACCTTCCTTTTCCAAATTTTTTATTCATTGAAGGCGTCGGTCGAGACTCAACCACATGGAAAATAAAATACATGGCTGCTGCTGGAATTCTATTTCAGGTTTGGTCAAGTGCGGTCCCCTCTGCTTATCCATAATGCGCATCCCACTACCCTCTTTCTAAAAGCTAAATCAATAAAATAAAATAAATACGACATGATTCTCTATAAAGTTGTCCTAAGTGAGAAGAAAAACAAAACGCACACAAAATGCAAAGGCCTAACATAGTCTTCCCTCTGATAGTCCTCGGCCTTTGCTATCTCACCTGCACAACGGCCTCAGGGATGAGCCCTTCATCCACGCCGTGCAACAGTTCGATAGTGGAGTGTGACGACGAAGGTGAGCTGCTGATGGAGTCCGAGATAAGCGGGAGGTTTCTTCAGACCAAGAAGTACATATCACCTGGGGCTTTGAAACCAGACCAACCAGTTTGCAACGGCGGCGGTAGAGGTGAAGCGTATAGTAAAACTGGAGGTTGCCTTCCTCCTCCATCTAACCCTTATAATAGAGGTTGTTCCAAGTATTATCGTTGTAGGTCGGACTCGTGATCACGGATGATATGTATGTAGAACACTTGTTTTTGCTTCAAGTGTTCAATAAACTCATCCCATTTTTAAAATTCAAGCTTCATATCGATGTAGCACACTTCTCATAGATAATGGTTAAAGAATCTTTCTCCGTTATTTCGGTATTGAAAAGAGAATTGCTATATTTATCACTTTGAAATAATCATCATGCATTTCTCTACTGTTGTGATTTACTAGATAGGGTTGCAAGATAACTTTTTCAGAATGTAAATAACAGTCCTCTTGCCCACCGTTTAAATTAGGAAATTTAAGCCTGTCGAGGAATTCTAAACTAGCGGCAATCCATGATAGTGGTGGCAGGGTTGGTGGCATTAGTGATGTTAGTAGCAGCCTCATTAGTGGGAGTGTTAGTAACGGAGATGATGGCATGTTCTAAAATCCCCGCCTAACGCCCTAGGCCTTGCCTAAGCACTAAGCGACTGATTACCATCCGTATTAATCCTTAGGCATTTGAAAATTAAGAAATAATGCTTAAACCTGCTTAGGCACCCGCCTAGACCACATAGTCATTCATCTAGTCCGTCCAGACTCTCACTTGGATATAAAATAGATAAATTTCTGCTGTTCTAATACTTTATAATTTATATGTCATTTTATTTGGCCATTTATATATCTCAATGCAATTATGTATTTTTTAGGTATAAACATGCACTTATTTATACGATGTATAATAAAAACATGATTTTTTTTTATTTTTAGCTCACCCTCATAGAAATTTTAAAAATAAAAACTATTTAAATGTAATTTAAAATATATTTTCCTTGTCCAAGCAAATGGCAGAGAACATTTATCTTTTACCGTTCTAGAGAGCAAATAAACTGAGCTTTACCCATGCTCTACCTCCAATATATTCCCAATACGTTTGTACTTTTGACTACAATTACAACTTTTGAAATCCTACCGGGCAACTCAGGGTAGACAAGGGAAAAAAGGGTAAAAGGAATTTTAAACGTTCGATTACATCGAACATGCCCTAACAACTGTAATATTTGATTCTTCTTTTTTCATTACGATGTTCGATTCTTGATGTGGGAGAGATTGAACGAAAGTGTTTGGTCAACATGAATTCCAAGCCTCCTTAAACGAAAGCTTCCATACCTCTTGGACATTAGAAGAACCATCAGCAACTTCGACGATCATGCTAGAAGCCAAGACCCCTGCAGAAAAGAAATCCAAGAAAAATATTTTAATCTTCGTATTTAAGCATCAGTAAATGTAACTTGATAACAGTCGATAACCATGGATTGGTCACAGCTTTAAGGACTCTCAAACACATATTCATACAAGAAACATATCTAACAAAGGCAAATTATAATCTTCATCACAAAAAGCATATTCATAACGAATGCCGTAAGCTGTAACTTGTTCTTATCTGATGTCACACAATCCTACCATCCCAAGGAATATGGTAGGAAAGAAAAAAGGGAAACAACTACTGCCACAGATATGAACCTTCAAGTTCCCCCAGGAGGAGTTAAGCACTGTAAAGTAAAAATTATTAGACATACCGCAACTGCAAGTTCGCAGTAACAAATCATAAATAACACATCAATAAGAGAATACCTTCTTTATGAGTTTACAGAGATGTGGGAGAGTAGAAATTGAGTAAACTGTCTCTGCCATTAAAATAATATCATATTGAGCATCTAAACTTTGCTCTGGACTAACATTAGGATCCTTCTCGGTGTTTAGTGCATAAGGAAGAAGCTTATGCATTTCACGCCAGTCACCAGCAAAAAAAACGAATTTCGGACCCCACATTAGACTTTGTCACTTGCACTGATGGGGGTTGGAAGCTTGGAATATTTGAATTTACATTAGGTATGGTCAGACACCACAGGACCTCGCCATTGAAGTCCTGGAAATGAATGGCGGCTGCACCCTGATTCAACTATGAAAATCTTAAGAAATCTAACATGAGAAACTACACTTACAAGCTTAAGAAACTTAACTTCACCTCAAGGCAGGCAAAGATACCAGGAAGTCCATGGCCACAACCAAGCTGAAAAATCATGACAGGAAACACGGTAAGGGAGTGTAAGGAATGGGAGAAGTGGGCCAAAGACTGGCATCAACTTTTTTGACAACCAATAAATCATTCATCGGAGATAATTACTTGTAGTAGTGATATATTTCTTTGTTGATTAATGATCAATGACGATGTGGGTTCACATATGGACTCTGAAATTTTACCAACGAACACTTAGATCAATGAAAATTGCGCAGTTCATTAAGAATTGAGATAACACTGTTAATTTCCAACAGGAAAATCCACCTAGAAATTTGAAGAGTGTCCCTCTATGATGTATGCACATCAAGTTTATGGATTGCCACTTAGTATGGAAACCCTACAATCTGAACGAAGTAGGCAGGATGCAACCAGAAACAAAATTAGTTTCTGTCTGTGAGGATATAATACATTTCAAGGTAAAGAAGCGTATGGCACATTTCACAATTTGAGGAATAGACTACCAGGCTATAGGTTATAAATTACAATAACCCGAGAATATTAAGGTGCCTACCTCACAAACGCGTTTACCAGTAAATTATAAATGTCCACTTTGAACTTCGGATCTAAGGGCTTTAACTAGATCAAGAGAACCTTCCCACAGCTTTAATCCCCCTACACCCAAAAACCAAAATAAATAGCACATCATATATAAATTAAACGTTTTCAGCACAGAATATTATTTTTCAATTATTGAATGACTACTAACAAACAGATGAAGATGGAAGAAATGTATAACCTTCATATTTCCCGGGAACTAAATCGGAGTTGGATAGCGTGAAAAAGTCTTGAGTACTAACCCGGCCCTACAATCAAATCACGCACGAACTCTAAGTTACACTCAAATTAAACTTAACTTTACAGATTACCAAATTCTACTAAAAGCAACATTTTTTTTTTTTATAACATTGAAATGTACTTTCCTTCATTTTCTGGGAAACCAAACAGAAAGAATCAGGGAAAAAAGTGACCTTGAGCAAAGTAAGTCCGCCCAACTCCACTGGCTCCACAGTGTAATTCACGGACGACCAAATCTGTTCCACATAAAGATCAATCATTTGTGTTTTTGAAAGTGCAAAATACAGTAATTAATCCGTAATTAAAGTAATTGATAAGTAGTTATTAACTAATTAATACCTCGGTGGGAAGCACTTCGAGGGAAAGAGGTCGAGGAGGAAGAAGGGGCTCGAATTGTTCAAGAAACCCTGACCCGACGATGAGAAGAGCCTAAACGGTTGGAAACTTGTTCTCTGAAAAAAAAAAAAAAGGAAACAAATATTCAGAAAAAGCTTCAGATTACGTACTTGGGAATCAGGAATAGCCTAATAGGGCAGCAGACAAACTCACCTCAGACTCCATTGCTGCCTGCTCTCTACTCCTCACAGCTTTTGGGGTTTTGGTTTTTGTATACTTGGTTACAAGGTTTTCGGGTTTTCTTATTTTGTCAAGTAATGAAAAACCCACGCCCAAATTACGAGTTTTCCCTCCATCTTATTCGTGTCTTCTAAGGTGCCGACAAAGCTTTGCGGGCCACGTGTGCGGACAGAATGTGAGTCATTGGATGAAATCTCTACGACTGAAAACCAATCCATTAAAAAAAGTTTGAGGTGAAACTAGGCTACAAATGACCTATCACTAATTAAAAATAGTACCCGGCATCAATTCAAAAGTTTTGGAATTTAAACTCTCCCCCTTCCCCTGACATCAACAGTTACCATATTAAATTTATCTTCTCCCGAAACTCTCCATTTTCTATCAGTCCTCAAACATCCTTCCTGTCGAAAAGTTGTTTACCGTTCGAAAATTTCGTTGCTGTTCAAAATCCAGTTGTAATAGTGTTGTGCTTGGCGTCTCCAGCGTCTCTGCACTTCCACACAAAAGTTTAGAATTTCAGGCGAGTTGGTTCGAGGGTGAGCAGTCGGTTCCATAGAAGGGACGTGGTGCTTGCTTGATTCGAGTTGGGTTCATAACTGTTGTTTCCCCAATAATCGACGTCATACTTCATTCCCCAAAGTATGTAAATGTGGTGAGGCTGGAAATATAGAACCTTAGAAATAAATTTTGTCATTTATGTAAATTTGATTAATTTTGCATGTTGGTTGGTGAAATTAGTTGAAATTGGCGGATATTTGTGGAAATTTAGGAAATTTCTATGGGATGTGGTTTATGAAATGTTGTAGACAGGTTATGTATAAGGGATAGGTCGTTTGGTTTTGTTAAAGTTATATTGTTCAGTTGGGAATACTTTGTGTTGATGAAATCTTGGTTAATTTTATGAATTAAGTTGATATTAGTTAAGTCATGAAGGTTTGTTCATCATAGATGTATTGTTATAAAAACTTGTACACAGGTTGTGTTAATGTTATACATTGTAAAATTTGGTTGTTATCAGGGTATATATTGTTCAATTTGGTTGTACATGCTTGTATTGTTATGTGTACATGAGATGGCAACTCAGGGGGTTCAACTAGCAAAAAAGAGGAAGAATCGTATAAGTGACACACCCCGACCCCAATCGAGGCATGCTAGCCGTCACGAGAGGATGACGTAGCCATGTGCGCTGTGCAGAAGTGAACGTGATAAGAAAATACGGATAAATAAAAACCTACTAACTAATTTACACTAGACTAGCATAAGTATAAGTGTAAACGTTTAGAGTAAAGGACACATAACCAGAGCGTAGGCATCAGGATGCAATCCAGAAGTCTAATTACTAATCCTACAGAAACCCTACATTGGTGGATGTCTGTCAGAATCCGCCACGAAGTCCTCGTGAGCCACCGACACGAACTTCTATCTAGAACATGGAGGGGCGTGAAACAGAAAGTGTGAGTGGGTAAAAACAAAACTTTTCAAAACCATTTATCTTTTCAAATATAATAACCCCTCACCGTAAAACCTGTATAAGTTTCCCATAAAATAATACTGTAAACTATACTCGAGAATAATAAACCATGTGTATACCATGACAATGATCTCAACCATAAATAAGTAAGTCGGGTGAATTGCATGATATAAAGTGACATATCAGCCGGAGTCACCTAACGTGACCTGTACGGCTAAATCTATAGCTTAACAATCAAA